TTTGGGAGAAACAAAGCATATGTATTGGATAAAGCCAGGGTTTGGTTCTGGTTCTGGTTCTGTCAGTTACTAAGCAGTATACCTTCAATCATTTTGGTTATTTACCTAATCTGGGCCTCAAATTTCCTCACTGTAAAATTAAAGTGTCAAACACACACACAAAATTGTATCTTGCTCTAACTATATCTAACTGCAAAGTACTGACATTTTTATCTTAGTGAAAGTGTTGACATAAAAAACCACATTTAAGAAGAGGAAATGCTTTGCAAAATCTGAGTCAGTGAACTGATAGTTTAGAAATGAACTTAATCAACCCATTTTAGTAAGACATCTTTAATGTGACTATGAAAACAATTAATCTCCATCTATTTCTCCTCCCCTGTCCCACTTGTCACCAGGTGCTCATGCAAGCACTTCTTCCTTTGCCCCTAACCACCCAGAGTCAAGTCAGCACTCACAAGGACATAGTCTTCTAGACTGTCAAGTCTGCCCCAGATTTCTGACAACAGCTAAAAGCTTAGTACTACCTCATTTTTGACATGATGACCATACATTTCCATAACCCCCTTGGGCTAATATCAGCTCAGTAGTACCTGCATATCTCTCTTACTTCTGATATGCAGGTTTCCACTATCCCCATGGGTTCAAGAATACATTAAAAGGACCCAGAACTCAGGAAAGCACTCTACTGAACAATGCATTTTATTATAGCAGAAAGGATACAAAGGAAGAAACTCAGAGAGTGATGTTTGGAAGGGTTCCCAACATGGAGTTTCCATAATCAATCACATGCACTGATGTCTTTCATCAGCCAAGAAACCCCAAGATCTGTGCTCAGAGTCTTTATTGGAATCTCGTTACAAAGGCATGAATGAGCCAATCATTCCCCTTTTACCTGAGGTCAGCTGGTATCAGGTGGTCTTTCTGGCCTGGCCTGCCTAGCTTCAGGTGTGGTCCAGGTGCCTCAAGGACAAAGATGAAATTCTTGAGCAAAGCTAGCCTCACAGTGGCTAAAATACAAATCATAACACAATTCTAAACAACAGAAATTCCACCTCTGTCAAATTGATTCTAACTCATAGTGACCAGTAAGACAGAATCAAACTATTCCCGTAATTATAAATTCTGATGAGAGCAGCCAGCCTCATCTTTTGCCACACAGCAATTGGCAGTCCAACATTTAACCCAGTGTGCCATCAGGGTCGTCTAGTCGGTAGTAATTCTGCATATCGTTTCTGAGGAGTATATGGCTTAGATATGTATTTATGTATATGGTTTCTGAGGAGTAGCTAGTGCTTTAACTGCCAACCTTGGGTTAGCAGTCCAGTGCTTATCCTATAGTGCCACACCAGAAATCTGTTGTAGGAAGACAACTAAAATAAGAGTCAATCATAATTACTTTTCCCAGAGGAAAAGGGAAAGTCACCTGTTTCCCCTTAACAAAGTATGAAACTAAGGGAATAAAGGTTATCACTATTGCTCAATTTTCACATTAATTTCTGCCTAATGCTATATAATTCAAAAACATCAAATAGGTTAGGAAAACCCCACTGCTGTCCAGTAGATTACACTGTAGGACAGCATAGAATTGCTCCATAGGGTTCCAAGGCTATAAATTGCTATGGAAGCAGATTGCCTGATGTTTCACCTGAGCACTGGCTGGTGGGTTCAAACCACTGAGCACAACACTTAACCAACCCACTGCGCCACCAGAGCTCCTAGGGAAGAAAGCCCAAGACCAAACCCATTGTCATTCAGTCAATTCCAGCTCAGTGACCCTGTACAGGGTTTCCCACAGCTGTAAACCCTCATCTCTCTGCCAAGTACCTGGTGGATTCCACGTGCTGACCTTGTGGATAGCAGCCCAATGCCTAACCTACTACACCAGCAGGGATCCGTTTTTAAGGAGGAAAGGTCCTCCTTATTTCTAAGCAGTAGAACTAACACTGACACTGTCACCTATTTTAACTGTTCAACTGTGCATTTAGTTTCCATTTACCCTTCCCTTACTTTTTCTTCTTGTTGCTAAGTGCTATCAAGTTGGTTCTGACTCATAGTGACCCTGTACAGCCAACCTGGTGGTTCAAACCAAGCTTGCAGTCCAGTGCTTTATTACACAGTACCACACCAGGACTCCATTCAACAAAGATATGCAAACTTGCAGTATTAGTGTTTCTGGAATAAAAAGTGAAGAAAAAAAGAATGAATACTATTTCAGCTTAGAACATATTCTGTGGCAGACATCCCAGCTGGGTGTCAGTGTTTTATTTTCTTGAACACTAGTATTTTCCTTTTATGGGAAGCTGGATGGAAGGATCAGTCCCCTCTCTAGAGTTATCAGCAGAGAAATCTTCCTAAAAAATAGATTATTGTTTACAATCATTTCAAAATTAAAGAAATCCTCTTGTCAGCTTTCATACCTCTTTCCATACTTCTTGCTAAGTGCCACTGAGTCAGCTCCAACCCATAGCGACTCCATACAGGGTTTCTGAAAAGCAGCTGTAGAGCTTGAATCACTTATACCTATATATCCATAGTACACTACTGTTTACAGTAAAATATTTCTCTAATTGAAGTTGCATCACTTTCTAAGAAACATTTTCATTTGAGTAGAAAAATCTTCAATCTACTTATCATAATAACACTCACTCTTTACCATTTGAAAGGTTCAAAAATTATACATTTATAAATTTTCACACTCTGATTAATGGGAATGAGAAAATATTCCTATATTTCCAGAGTTCTATATGTAAAAGCACTACTCAGTATTTCAGCTTGCTTTTGTAATTATAGCTACTAGGAAGCACCTACCGAATTTTAAATTAAATGATTCTACTTTTATTTGACAAGATTTTTGTATCACTATTAAATTTTTGTTTCTGAAGAGTTTTAGCAGAGGGATGTTTTATATCATATTAGTAAGGGATAAAGGTCTGCTGCACAGGACCTTTTTAAAGTGTTTAAGAGCAAAGATGTCAGCTTGACGACTAAGGTGCACCTGACCCAAGCCATAGTATTTTCAATAACTTCATGTGCATGCGAAAGCTGAACAGTGAACAAGGAAGACTAGAAGAATTGATGCTTTTGAGTTATGGCGTTGGAGAATATTAAAAGTGTCATGGGCCGCCAAAAGAACCAACAGATCTGTGTTGGAAGAAATGAAGCCAAAGTGCTCCTTGGAGGCCAGGATGGCCAAACTTCGTCTCTCATACTTCAGACATATTGTCAGGAGGAACCAGTCACTGGAGAAAGACATCATGTTTGGTAAGGTGGAGGGTCAGAGAAAAAGAGGAAGACCCCCAACTAGATGGACTGGCAAAGTAGCAGCATCATGGGCTTAAGCTGGCAACAACTGTGAGGTTGACCCAGGATCAGGCAGTGTTTCATTCTGCTGTGCATCAAGTTACTACCCACTCAATGGCACCTAACAACAACAAGTTCTGGTTTGGTAATACAGGATAAGCACTAGACTGCTAAATAAAAAGCTGGTGGTTCAAGGCCACCAGTCACTCTTCACAAACGACTCAATAGCACATAACAATAAGTGAAAAATTAAGGACATAAAAATGCATACTTAGTATAAATATATAAACAGACAACTTTGTATCAAAATTTGAAGAAAATGCCCCAAAATGTTAATAGTGGCACTTTAGTTGATACAGTGATTTATAAACGTTATAGTTTCCAAATCTACTATGGTGAACAAAACAAACATGTATCGCTATTAAAATCTCTGGTGTACTACTCAATATTCATCAACTGATAAATGGATAAACAAAATGTGCTAATTCATATAATAAAATATCATTCAGCAACAGAAAGAAATGAAGTGTAGATAAATGCTACAACATGAATGAATCTTAAAAAACTTGCTAAGTGGGAGAAGTCAGTCATAAAAGACTACATTTTATATGATTCCATGTATATGAAATATCCAGAACAGGCAAATCCACAGAAAATAACCGTGTTGCCAGGGATAAAGGAATGGAGAAATGGGGAATGATTGCTAACAAAGTACAAGGTTTCTTTTTGGGGAAATTAAAATGTTCTAAATCGAGATTGTGGACACAGTTGCACAATTCTGTCAATATACTTAAAACCACTGAACTTCACACTTTTAATGGATGGATTTTATGGTGTATGAATTTGAAAAAAATTAAAATTAATGAAGTCAAAACAAGACAAGGATCCCTTCTGGGAAAAAACCTGACGTTTCAGTAATGTTTTCTAAATTTTTATCCAGGAGAACCAAGAAATTTCAGGGCTCAATTCCCTGACGTTAGTGTTCTCGGTTACACTTAAACTACCTTTCCAAATACACAAATTCTTTATTAAACACTTTGCCATACAAAATAAAAACAAGTTTTAAAGGATTGTTATCACAAATGAAATATGAGAATCACCTGGGAGAACTTTAGACCCATCAATGACTTGAGCCTTCACCCCCTAAATTTTCTATGTCAACTCATCTAGGCAATAACTTCCCTTGGGGAATCAAATGTAGAGCACCAGGACTAAAAACCACTTGATGTAATAAACTATAATTTATCTTTAAATCTTCCTTTAGGTGAAGGCAGATTATTTTTTATGCAAAATACATATTACTAAGAAAAAATTGTTTCTAATTTGTGTAACTGTAAATGAAAAGTCACATAAAACACTAATTTAGTCATAAAACCTATAATTTAATTGAAGCTATAAAAAAAGGCAGTATAATTGGTAAAATAATTAGGAAAGAATATTTAGCATATTTCAAAAGATTTAAAATAGGAGGACACTTTACAAAAAAACTACTGGAAATAAAGTTCTTAAACTATAAGTAGAAATGTAACATTACAGAGTATCTTATAAAATACAGAGACAGAAATATAAAAGGAATTTTTATGTTCTAGGTCTGAAAACTTAATAATGATCAAAGATTTAGGTTTAAATTTACAGTTCCTGGGTATGAGAATCATATTACTATACACATCTTCCAAATCAGCAGGCGGATTTTTTAATTAACCATGAGTGGTATCGTCTTCTACAAAGTCTTTGGCCATCTCTGCTGTGATCACATCAATATGACTAACCTGAAAGAACAATGAATGTTAAAATCTATTAAATCTTACAGGAAAAAAGAAATATAAAAGTGTTTGCATTATATAGACCCCATTATCACTGACTGAGTCCGAGTGGGTGTGATCTTTTAAGACAGGGTAGAACTGCCCCTGCTCCACAGGGTTTCTGAGGCTGTAAGTCTTTACAGGAGCACACAGCCTAATCCTTCTCCCATAGAGAAGCTGGTGGCTGAACCACCTACCTTACAATTAGTGGTCCAGCATTTAAGTAGCTGGGGGATTGGTTATATAATGCAAAAGAGCCCACTTCCAGGGATCTTTTGCATTATATAAGGTAATATTTTAAATGCACAGCTGAACTTTTATAAACTTTACTACGTATCAGGTCAAATCATTCTTAAAGCTCTGTGATAAAACCTTACTTACAATTGTTGTTGTTGTTGTTAAGTGCCATCGAGTCGGTTCCG